GATTGGTATCATTTTAACCACAGCATATATTAATAGGTTATTGGGCCACGTGGCCAAATTCCTTCAAATAAGGGTCCATTAACCATTATATACATAACACATTTTACTAAATATATGATTTACATTTATTAATTATTGCATTTACTACTAATTGAAGTATTTGTTGGATATTAGAATATTTTATGGAAAGGAGAAATATTTTTAAGATTAAAGGTTTGAAGAGTTAGAATGGTTTCATATTCTTTATAAAATATATATTCAACTATGTAATAATCTTAGGAAAGATAGTCCATCAAATATGTTACATATTATCTTTAAAAAAAATAGAAAATTATGTTTGTAAAATTTTGCTTACAAATTTTGAATTGCACATAAATAACGAGAGAGTGTTTACTCAAAATTTAAAAAGTGTCTTTTTATGTTTAAAAGTATAATTATTTTAAAATAAGTTTTAATCTCTAAAATAGTTATTAGATGAAAGACTATTAGTGTTTTCCAATTAATTAGATGTTCCTTTCTTCTCACAATTAGTTGGAAGGATTCCAATTCTGGAATTATGTTTGAAAGTGGTCCGAAAAGCACATAAAGGCTGGAAAAGAATGGTTGTTATGAGAAGATGTTGCACCATTTTTGATGCAGTGAGCAGAGCCACTATTGACCTCAGTATTAAAAGCCTTTAAGTTTGTCAATGGTTTCCATGAACCTCTTCTCTCTTGAAAAAGGAAAACTGCAGGTGCTTAGGCCAAGTCCACTACATCAATATTCTTCAAAGTGGGGGCACATAGAGTACACACATTAAAAAAATAAAACAATTAAATAATTGGTGACAAAATTGCTAATGATGACAACAACACTATGATTCTCAATTGCTTCATTCAAATTCATCCACCTATCATTTTTTTAAGTACTCAACTACCATAACTTAGTCTCATCAGCTCTCATTGTTTTTCATTTGTAATTTGAATTTTTTTTATTAGATTTTTGTTACTTTCCTTCTGTTGTGCTTCAAATATGATTTTGATATTTTAATTAATATATTTAAGATCTTTTAAAATATAATCTATTTTAAAGGTTTGACGGAGGAAAAAAAATAGCATGTATTAGATTTTTTTTTATGATTTAACATATTAAGCATTAAGACTTAATACGCGTTAGACTGTTAATTAATAGACTGTCACAGAAGAGTTTGCTACGACTTAAAATCATTAGTGACTCTACGGTCGTGTTTATCCATTGAAAATGGCACCTACGAGAACACCAGAGAGCATGAAAAAATCTGTTTGCTAACAACGTGAATTGAAATTTTTTAATATAGAAAATATATATATATATATTCATTCGAAATTTTTAATATAGAACATATTATAAAAGTAAAATCATTACAAAAAAATAAGATTTTATATTTAGAAATGTTGGATTGTTATAAGTTGTGAATTGCAAAATTTGTTAAATATTATGCAAGTTTCTAGAGGAAGAACAATATTTATCATTTGTTGTGTGACAATCAATCGTAAATTTGTCTAAACGTTAATAATTGTCAATATCACCTTTTTATTTTTTTAGAAATTACTTAATTATAAATATTTTGGTGTTGTTTAATTTTTATATTTAATAATTTATTTATGTATGTATAATAATAATATAAATGTTGAGGAAAAATACATTATAAGAATTTGATATTTTTCTAAAAATATAAAATAAATTTAAATTTATTTTTAAATGTTAGAACTAACATAAATTTATTATTGAAAACACAAACTATTATTTAAATTTTAAAAATTAACTTTTTTTATTTTTAATATCATACTATTTATTTCACCTATCATATTATTATAATATTTATTTTATTAATCAATATTCTACTTAAAAAATTCTAAAGAGGGATTTGTTTTTGTTTTTCTCTTCTTTAATAGTTTTTATGTCTAACTATTTACTTTTAACCAATACACTAATTAATATTACAAAACATTACTCCTACTTAAATATACACTATATAATATAAGATTGATAATATAATGTATAATGTGAAAAATATAATAATTAAAACAAAAAATAATAATTTCAAAATGCATCTACAAATAAAATTTGTAAGAGTTAAAAAGAACTTTGAAAATAAAAGTTAAACATCCTAAGGTGCATTTCAAACGACAAAAAATGGAATTTAAAATGTAAAAAAAAAAACGCTATATTTAGCATTTTACAGATTGAGCTATTTTAAGAAATAATTTTATGTTTGATTACTTAATAGTTTAACTTAACACCTTCCAACTTTCAAATATCAGTTTATTTTAAAATTTTCAGCTAACTTTTGATCTTTGAGCTAACTTTCCAATTAGTTTATCAAACATGACCAAAGTATGAAAATAATTATGGAGTTTGAATCTAAAACGTTGTATAATCTGCACCACTCAGCATTATATATAGGTCGGTAATAAACGTGAAAGAGAGAAATTACAAATAAACAAAGTCAAATTTAATCGAGTTTAGTTTACATACAGACGTTGTTTACATATACCAACATGGAAATTAAAGCATCCTTAAACTTTTACAGTTTAAAACTTTTCAAACATTATCCTTAACAACAATAATAAAATACCCACGGCGACAATAAAGTAACATATCATGGAACAACTGGCAATAATGAATTCGTTAGTTGCACTAAAAAATGTATTTGTCATGACTCGATTTGAATGATCTTTCAATTTATGGAAATTTTCAATAGTAAAATAGTATTATTTTGAAGTGAATGGTGTTGAATTTCAGGAATTGAATGCAATACTAACTATTATTTGACCAACTTCTGTTGTTATTATCTTTCCAAGTGTCTAGATGATTTTGGAATAGTTTTTAAGAATTTTCTTAATTGGCCACCGAAAATGTAATTTCATTCCTATATTTAACCAAACGATGTTGAAACTTGAGTTCAAAGTCCAGCACCATTACTACCCTTCAATGTTGAACAAACAATATTTAAATTAAAGTAACATCAAACATTAATGAATGATGAAGATTTCTATGGGGAAACGTTCCAGATTCTATCCCAATTTCTTCCTTAATCACAGATAGTGTTGGAAGAAAAAGATGGAGTGCAAGAAGAAAAGCCATAAATAAGGGCGTGGCGCCACAGGTAAGTGTAGCCCATCAGCAAAAAGAAAAAATGAGCAAGGATTTTTCTTCTTGCACCTCTATAATTTCAAACTGCACCAAAAATTTGTAAAATTACTTTATAAAGGTGACTTCATGATTATCTAATTTGGAAAATTTCTAGAATAAGTTTACTGGAATTTTTAGAATATGATTTTGGAACAAAATTTTCATAACAGGACTACAAAACAAACTTTTCATAACATATGAAATATATTTTAATAAGAATTTTCCAGAATAAAATTTCAGACACAAGCTTTCTAGAATATATGATAAGCATTGAAAAAAAAAATAAAAAAGCAGATTCCCACTGTTTTATTCTCTCTATCTTCTTCTTTCTCTCAGAGTGCAGACGTCATAGAGGACAAAGATGTAGTTGGAGGTGCTGCGGTAACATGATACAGAAAGAAACGGTATTATATATATATTGCTATATTAAATGCAAACATGTCATTTCATACATTAATATGGAAATAATGTAAAGATTCTGTTTCATTTCCTGTAAATAAGAAATGGCTAGATGAGGTGAGAGTGGATAAGAAGAATGGGGTGGTATGAGTTGAAGGATTTATTTGGGAAGAGTATGAAAATGAAATAACTTGCAAAAGATTATGATCTATCAAAATGGGAAACTATAGAAGCAATTTGATGACCTCTTTTTGTTGACAAAACTACAACACAACCAATTTAGAATTTCATAAATAACCCAATAGCTTTTTTTGGTCTTATACCTTGCTTGGAAATGAAGGTCCCCTGTTGATCTTAAAAATGTAATTTTTTGGGTTGGAACTTAACATTTACTGCATAATTTGGAGGAGACAAGCAGAATCTCATGATATAATACCTACCATGAGAAAGGGCCATTTGCTAAAATGGTAGGTATTGTGTCAAGTTTCTCTTCCATAATCACACCATATTTTTTCCTAAATTTTAAAATATTTCTCATAACTTAATCTTCTTGACGTTGAAACATTCAGAAGGATCACTATTCTCCTTGGTCTTTTAAGAGGTCCACATCCTTTGGATTAACAAGGTATTTATGTAGTTTTGATATATGAACTGTTTAATAGTAAACTAAGAAATGTATAAAGTACAGATAGAAAAATATAAAAAGAAATACAGGTAGCAAAGATGAATTTGTACAGAGTACATAAATAATATTTGTACTATTTGGTGGCGGGTGAAAGATGAATTTACACGCCTAGACAGACAGGACTAAATTTGGAGCACCCCAACCGCCAAACATTGAGCTTAATCCTAGTAATAAGTTGTGTATGCTCCTAACATTAGTGCCACTGTGCCACTGTGCTGCTGCTCTCAGACTCTTTGACCTATAACAAAAAGTTGAGAAAACTGCAAATAAATAAAGCCACCAAAGCAAAAGATGAGACAAGGATTTTGCCATACCATTAGAAAGAGCAAACACTCTCACTCCATCACAATCCAAAAAGAAACTGTTTTATTCTTTAGTCTTATACCTTTTACAAAGCCTTCTACATATCGAAAACAAAGTTAATGTTCATTCAAATACACTGCAACATTCAAATTCTAAATCTTATTGTTACTGCAAAGTTACACAAAGTACTACCTCAATATTACGATGTACGATTTTCATAACCATTTTCTGATATTCGCAACCTAATTTCTCATTAAGAATTTGGCTATTTGTTACTAATAGCTTGTGGGCCTAAGAAAGAGGTCCCCCCTTGGCACAAATCTTTTTTTGAGTACAAACCAAAAAGCAGGAAAAGTGGGAAAAGTGGTCACAGGAATTGGGGCGGGTATCTCTTTTGAAAACATAGCAGAAAAAACCAGTAAGAAACCCACGTTCCTATTTAACAGCCTAACCGTCCCACTAACTGCTAGAAGTCTCTCACACACTCCAACCCATTATGCACTTCACTTCTGCTCTTTATCTTCTCTCGACTCAACACTACTTACTAAATCTTCACCAAATCTAGACTTCCAAACGCAACAGTAGACCAAATTATGAAGTGGGGTGGAAAAAAACCTTCTCCTTCTCCTTCTTCCTCTTCTAGGCCTTCTTTTGCATCTCATGTGTCTCCTTTTTCATGGCTTTCCAAGTTCAAGCATATGAGAATAAACTCAGACCCAAAACCTGCCGCACTGAAGCAAAATGCAAAGCAGAATTCAACTCCATCAGATACCTCGCCCCATTATGCTTGTGGGAATAATAGAGGCAGGTTTTATGGAGGGGATGATGAGGCTTTCTGGAGACTCTCATTTGGTGAAGAGGGTAATGAGCATAGAAAAAGTGATGATATTCTGAAGCCGGTAAAGTACAAATTGGATGCTGAACATGTCATTCCATCCTCGAGTTTCCCCGGTGGATTGAATAATGCTAAAAGACAAGGTAGAAGAGAAGTCACTCAGAAGTTGAAGCAGAAGGACACTGAACTGAGAGAAGAAACAACATTGCTGAATGAAGCTGCAAGGAGTGTAAAAGAACTCGAATCCTTGAGGAGGCGATATGAGAGGAAAGCACAAAGAGTTTTGCAAGAGCAGCTCTTGAAATTGGAAAAGGCAGAAGAGGAATCTCAGTTTGCATCAAGTCCGTTCTTAGAAAATGATGTGCAGCAATATGAGTCACCCAGAACAATTTGCACACCAAGGAAGCATTTGTTTGTCGATTCAAAGAGTTCTGGCCTTGGGTATCTAAGAGAAGCCCGAGTAAGTAGTCCCCAATTGGATTCTGAGTTGCATAATTTGAAACAAACTGAGGAGTTGAAATTGAAAGCAAAGAGTAACCAACAAATGCAATCGCTTCATGTGAGCAGAGAAAACCAGAGGAGGAAACCAAAGCACAACTCCAAGGTTAGAGTACATTCTCCAAGAATGGGTTCCAAAGTTGAAGTCCGAAAAATAAAGGCAATAGAAGAGAAGAAGAAAGCAAAACTGAAGATGAAAAAAGAAGAGGAAATTGTGGAGGAAACAGAAGGGTTAGATAGCTTTGCGGTGGTGAAATGTTCTTTGGATCCACAGAAGGATTTCAGAGATTCAATGATTGAGATGATCACAGAGAAACAGATCAGCCAGCCAGAAGAAATGCAAGATCTGCTAGCATGTTATCTGACTTTGAATTCTAATGAGTACCATGATCTCATCATCCAAGTGTTCAAACAAGTATGGTTGTGCATGAGCCGAGCCAGTTCGGGTATTCAATCACACAAGCAATGCTGTTGTTGTGATTAACAACAAAATGTTTAGCCTGTAGGAAAGATTGGCAGAATTGTGAATAGTTACCCTTGTCCTAGTTATGCTCTAAGTTTACTTGAATTTCTATATTCTCATCTTCTGTATAAAATTCAGGAGAAGTTG